GGCGGGGCGGGTGAGGCGCCCCGCGCCTTGGGTCAGCCCTTGGTGCAGGGCAGGGGAGCGGAGCCCCTTCTGGGAGGGCAGGACCGGGGCGGGGGCAGCGCAGGTTGGTGCGCGGCGAGTGGCTTCCCAGCACCCGGGAGGGGGAGGCGCCGTCATCGCTTCCAGGGAGCTCGAGTGTGAACACCGCGTCCTGCTCGGAGCGGAGAGCCTGCTGCGAGGACCGCTGGGCGTCCCGGTCGCTCTAAAGATGGGCGCGCAAGCTCTGACGGGTGACGGTGGCGTTGCGTTGCACAGGGACTCAACCTCCTGGTCAGGCCCGGGGCTCTCTAAAGTTAGTGATGAGCCTGCAGTCACGGTCGCCTCCTGTGGTACCATACGTGTTTAGTGAATGAGGTATTCCCCGGAGCTGTTCAACGATGCTGTGCCTTAATTATCTCCCAAGCTTATGCGTTTCTCATATAATAGCGTACTCAGCCGTGCCTGTTGCACGTTTCATTTGTCACTGTTACAGCGGATGTTCATTGTGTGTTTGGATCTGCGTGGTAGATTCAGAAACGGAAGAGTTTGCAGTTATTTGTAATTTACTTTAGGCTGCCAGAGCTCTTCAAATGCTTATGATACAGGTGACTGCAGAGCTACTAGAGGATGCAGGGAGCCCAGTTTATATGCTCAAGCATTGAAATTACTGTTCAAATATTTTCAAAAGCCTTGTGTGTTACTCAGTTATTGAAATTTGCTTCGACAAGTGAAAAAATCCCAGTTTTCACGTAGGGTGTCAGTTACCCCCAAAAACAGAGTCAACTGTAGGAATGACTTGTGGCATGTATTAGGGTGAGTAAAGCTGTGTAACGCTCTAAAGGCAGTAAATACTTCGAGTCTTATTTCAGTGTCCTTCCATATGTACATATCCAGTTTAAGTGGATGGTAATTCAGAACAAATGGAAAATCCGTCTTAATAGATCTGTGTTGTGCCAGAAATGAGAAGGCTATATAATTATTCATTCAGACAGACTACCTTAAAATATAGACATACACAAAGCCATTATTGTTACATGCTTCCAGAGTCTGATTTTATGGTAGTGCTAGTGTATGTTATGAGTTTTAGCTTATATTGTTCCAATCTAAAGTAAGACTTTGTATACTAGCGTTTACTGCATCTTGGGTTAAGCAAGCCTCTGTCCTCTCCGTAACTGACCTTTGTGAGTATTTAATGATAAATGTGGTTATTAAGTAACTTTCCAGAGCATTTGCATTTCTGTTAGAATGCCTTGGTTTTATTTCTCCCTCTTTCCTCCATTGTCTTTTGGTGAGCTTTATTGTTTTGCATGTTTTGTTAGAAGAGACCAAACTAACACTTTGCTATGACAGTTAAACGCACAAGGATGAGTATTTTTCACTTGCAACATTAATCTCCAAATGCACGTAGCCAAAAAACGTTTTGTTTCTCAGGGCATCAAGTTGTCAGCAGAGGTCAAACCATTTGTTCCAAAACATGCGGCGGTAACCGTGGCATGGTCAGAACCCTCAGAAGCATGTGTCTTTCCTAGGTACTTAACTACATGCTACCCATTTGTTCAGGAACCATCTTTGGATAAGTATGTATATTTTCTGAATTTTTTTTTTGGAGGGGGGGTGTGGATTTTAACCTTCCAGTTTCGGACATTGAAATACTCTTGTCAAGTCAAAGCTCTGATACATTAATCTAACTAGAAATGCTTGTGCATTGTCTTCATGATTTAGGTTTTTGCATTTATGTTATTTGGGCATATATCTGGTACCTTTTCTCTTGCTCCCAATCGCCTGTATTGTTACAGAGCATTAAGGAGGATTTGTTGCCTGTAATGGCTTGTTTGTTGTCTGGAAGGAGCTGAATCCAGTCCTTTGGTGAAAGAATGGTTGAGTTATGACAAGTCTGGGGTAAATATAGTCATATAAAAGGAACAGGAAGACCCTTCAAGAAGGTTTCTCATGCTGTAAAACATTTAAATAATGTATGGGGCTCTTCCTGGATCTCCTCTCCAGAACCCGTGCATCCCCAGAAAGGCGGTTTTAGTAAGAATGCTACAGGTTTCCAAAAGGTTTTTTCTAATAACGCCTGAAAAAAAAGGTATTCGTGATAGACTCATAAAAGTATTGTTAATCCCAGAGCAAGCTAGAAAAAAGCCTACATAGTAGGATAGGAAATAGTCGAGTCTTGTGATGTTACGTAGTTCTCTAGTTGCTTTCCAGCTTCTCAGAACTCTAAGCATTGGATTGACTGCAATTACTGCAAAGTTATTGGTGCGTCCTAACAAGTTCAGTTAGAGCCTTAACAAACACATTGATTGTAGGCCTTCATTTTATCCTACAGGAAATCTCAGTATTTTCAACCCATTTTGATTTGTAATAGAAATTTAACATTGAGGTGAGTACGGCCTAATCTATGCATTAGAAAAAACACAGCATTAGCATTAAAAAAAAAAAAAAAAAAGGCAGACAGGATCAATATTCTGATGAATGTTTTGCCTTGTTGGGACTAAGTCATACTTTTTTTTTTTTTGACTCTTATTTGTTACTTTCCTTCTCTGAGCATAAACTATGATTGTAAGAGTTCTTTTGACTACAGTCTATCAGAATTGCAACAGGCAGTAAGAAATGTGTTACCTGAAGTCTCTTGTTCTGATGGGAAAGTTTCTCTGTTTTTTTATTATATAGCCAAGATTCAGACGTTGGCCACTTCATGGTGAACAGCTTTAAAAACTAAATGCAACTTAAGCTGAGAAATTTCTTTTCTCCCTAATCAAATTTGGATCGTGGCATATAGTTTCTGTACAAAGCGTGGGAGGAAGTTGGAAGGGAACTTTGAGTATACATTTGAAGGAAAAAGGCATGCCCCAGACATGTTGTGTTTTCATAAACTGTGATGGTTAAATGCAGGTCAGTTAATGATTATCTTATACTTCTGTGTTGTAGTTCGTACATGTCTTATGCCCCATGAGATGCTGTACTTCTACTTTGTTATTATGGCATTTTAAGACAGGTTTTACTCTTTAATGTTTGTATTTTTGCAGTCAAGTATTTAATGCGTATCGTGTAGTTATACTGTGCTTTTAATTTGTTTCACAAGAAAAAGCCTACCGAAAATAAGTACGAAGAATCTTGATAACCTTAAACAGAAATGAGGACTGTAACTGCAAAGCAGACTAGCTTTGAAACTTTGAAACAGATAACATCTGTGTTTTAAAATATTTGCTAAACTGCATGTTTTCCCAAAACAAAATTAATTATTTTTAAAGCAGTCTATAAGAGAGAGTAAATACTTAATTGAAGTAACATGGAACAGTTCTCTTTTGAAATATAGCTTTCTTGTTAAACAAATTCTTCAGCCAGGGAATGATGTGTTTATCTAGGCAACAAGTATATGCTGAAGATTTGCCCTGGGATGACTTCTCATCTCTTTCTCAATGTCCATCACATAGTGTTCTGGGAGATCCTGCCTTCCGTGAATACTCCAGCTGCTCTTACTCACCTGATGTTGTTTCAAATGTATATCCTGTAGCTGGCTCACAATATCATTCTAACAACTCAACACACTCTAATGGTTCAGCAATAGTCAGTGAATCTGCTGAGCAAACGTATCCAATCAGACAAGAGAGTAAGAATCTTTCAAAGGTGAGCAAATACATGGGTTTTTAAAAATTTTTTAATTAAAATTAAATTTTTATTTTAAATCAATCTTTTTATATGTTTGGTTCATTCTTAAAAGTGAATAATCACTCTCTGTTCTTGTAGTGATAATGAATGGCATTTAAAGAGCATGGTAGTATGTGCCAAACTTCAGATTTCAAAAAAGTTCATGGAATTCTACAGTTCAAATTTATACAATTTTTCAAGCAGCATTTTTGGAACATGAGGGGAATTCAATTCTTTTTCCTCAGAAAGCAGCATGGGGGGGGGGGGAAGACCATTCATTTGTGAGCTATGCTTTCCTTCGTTCACTATTTGGGCTTGGGGGGAGGTGGGAAGGGCTTTTTTTTGAGCCCCGTGGCAGCTTCCGTTAACCAGCGTTAAGAGAGACCTGGTGGCTGTAATCAGCTGTGTGGCTGATAAGTGATGAGACCACATCTGTTGTTGAAGGGTTTCCAGGACCTGCCACAGGTAGAAAACAATCCGTAAGAGAGTAGGAACTTGTATTGGTGTGGAGAGGGAAGAAAGGTTCATGTTAGAAATGTTCTCTTTCAGTCAAAAGTAAAACAGATGTTTGGTAAACATCTGTCATCTTTTTTTTGTGTGCCTGTTTGGGAATAAATTTCCTGAAACTTGGATAATATTTTCAAACAAAAAAATAGACAAACTCCTCAAAATATAAAAATCAGGGGAAAAAAATCAAATGTATTATTAACTCATTTCCCTCTGTGGTTAGACATTGTGTCCCTTGTATTTGTAAGGCTGTTGTTGTTTCCAACAGGTTCAAGTAATCTGTTCTCCAGTCACATCCTTCTGGTGGACCTTACTCCCTAGGCAGAGACCTGGTAACTTCACTGTGGTCAAGCCTGTGTAGAGGAAGTTGTAAGATCAGGTCCTAAGCATGCCTTACTAGACATAAGATAACAAAGGCTAGAGACCTAAAATTAGTAGTTTTCTTGCTAAGAGAAAAATTAAACACTGAAGCTGTGGGGAGATTATTAGCTTAGTGTTAGCACAGGTGATGTAATATGAAGAAACATAGTTTATGTTCCAGGAGGAGTTCTCTGGTCTTTGTAGGGGCTTGGCCTGAGCTGTGTACTGTTTGACAGTCTTTTTGTCATTATTCCCCATCATTTATGTTTTTTGTGAGCTTGAAGAGAAATGATTGATCTTTGCAGCTTTGCATTCATTTGATCACATCTCCTAAAGCTTTAATAATTTAGCTTTGGAGGTCAGGAAATGCCTTGGCCTCCCACCCAAGAAAATAATGTTGCTGCCAGATGTACTTTGAATTTAGTCCAGCATTCTGTAATCAGAAGGAGTTAAGCCACTTGTCTAGGTCAGTACATTATACTTTGCATAGACGCAAGCCTAGTGCATGTTCCTTGCCTGCCGTACTGATACCTGAGCCCAGCTCTGCCAAGCTGTTTCTTGCAAGAATCACAAGGCTTTCAGGACTTGACAGTGTAGGTGAATGTGTTTCCTTTATTGGGATCATATAGGTGTATTTTTTCTAATTACTTTCTGTCTGCTCGAAGTGTTTTGGATGTTGTGTTGCCTAGTTTTGCCCATAATACGTAGTTTAGACAAAATATTGGAATGCTTTTAAGATTTTAGCCCTATTCTAGAAGAAACTCAGTTTTAGAAGATAGGGCTGGATGATTTAAACTATTGGAAATGCTCTGATAATGAGATCTTAAAAGTACAGTTGTCTAGAAACATATGGAATATAATCCCTCTTGCTTGGGCTATAATATGTGCTAAACATGGCACAGTTAACAAGGTAGATAAAATTAAATAACAAATCTCTAACTGGCTGGTCCTGTTTTTATTGGTTATTTGTGGTTGTGGTATACTAACTACTTATGTTGTATTAACTTGATAGTCAAGCTCCAGATGCAGAGGTACTTAACTGTAACTCAAGCTAAGGCAAACTTGATGACTTTACAAAGTTCAAGTAAAATCAACTAAATGTCACAAATACTTGCAGCAGAGGAGATCAAAAGAGGGTGAGAAAAAATTAGACAAGAAAAGGCATGATGGAGATGACTCTTCTGTCAGAATTGTGAACAGGACTTCGTTCCAGACCTCCGCATGCAGCAGAGATTCTGTGAAGCCAGGTACAAATGCGTCGTTTGGTTAGAAGCACATCGAATAGACATAAAATGGTTGACTGTGCTATATCCTTCAGTTTGTGACCATGTTTCTAAATATAGAATAATTAAGGAACAGGATTTCTTTCCTGTGTGACTTTTTGACGAGGCGTGGTGACTTAGGTCTTTTTGCTGATTGAACAAATTCTTGTAAACTGATATGAAAAATTTCCTAAGCAAGCATCTGAATTTAAGGTTGCTTGTTGAGTCAGTGTTGTCTATGCACATTGGATATGATTGGTAGGTTGTTTTTTTAATATGAGCTATGTTTAGCAATAGCTCTTGTGGTGATTACTGTAGTTATGTCAACAGGTGTACTATAAAACATACCTAGAAATGATCACAAGCAAGTTTAATCATTTAGACTTTACATGCTTTATTCAGACAGGTTCAATAAAACTACAAACAAGAAGTCAACTCAAACTCCAAAACCAGAGTCTCTTGCTGTACCCACATTTGAAGCTACCATTCTGGATTTCCACAAGTCACAGAGTTTGGGAAGCAGTGAGATATTGAATGTACAGCATAAAAGTGGACCAGTGTGTGCAGCGGAAAGTAACATTGCGTGCCTTAGTCAACCACAGATGTCTCTTTTGTTGAATACGGAGGTTAGTTGATGCTTTCATGTTGCATATTTTGCGTAAAAATAAAACTTGTCTAAAGTTCAGGCATTTCTGAATGCAAGTATTTTTCATTCAGTATGGTAGTTTAAGACCTGTTTAAGTACCTTGCAAGCAAGGAGTTTTGGAGGTAGAGGTTTTATGGTTCTTTTAGATGGTGGTGTCAGTGGTTGATGTCTGCTCTTTTAGCCTTTCTCACTATTCTTTCCTTGTCTCTGCTGCCAGTAGATAGGGGAAAGCTAAGTATAGTTAGAATTTAGATTGGTACTGCTATGGTCTAGACTTCTAGCTTGCCTATACGGAGCACATATGTTCCTGCGGTTTCTTAATAGCTTCTTGTTTTCTTTCTTGCCTGGAAATAACAGGTAGGCAGTCACTTATCCAATAGTTTTAACAGATTAAAAAAAAAAATTTGGAGTATTGTACTTAATTGCTTTGTGCTGAAGAATAAAAATGAGAAGCTGAATTCCAGAAGGAGGAAAAAATATTGTTAAGGCGTAAGCATTTAACTTTATTCTTCTTGATTTTCTTGGTTCCCTATTTGTTAGTAAGTACAATACTGACATATTCAGCAGTATGTTACGTATATTGAATCAGAGTTTTCAACAGTGATTAAAGATTAATGTTTTTGAAGGATCCAAACAGCATATTTCCATTGCCTCTGAGTGGAAAACTGCCTGTGATGGAAAAAAGACCTTTCTGCTGTCATCTGAATTTCCTTTTTCATTGCTAGTTTGAGTTTGATGATGGACTTTGTTTTTAATGTACTTGGAACATTAAAACTTTTTCTTGTTAGTTCTTAGAATCATTGTTTGGATGCTTTTCTAAAATGTAAGAAGGCATCATCTTGCTTGTACAGCAGTGCAGGGGCATCTGCTTATATTTTGTAATGCTATAGAGTTGAAATGGTGGTTCCACTAAGAAAAGCAACAAAATTCCCTACATTTTTATCTGTGCATGGGTTGAGGATTTTTTAAGTTATGGGGTTTTTTATGTTTAGCTTTGTTTAGGTCAGTGATTTTAATCCTACTTTTGTGATACCTGACTGTCTATTTTACAGGAAGATACTTCTGCAGAAAGCAAAGCTTCATCAAAAACTTTAGATGAAACAGTAGCCACCTTAATTCCCTCTTCATTTGATGGTAGAGGTAAGTGCTCCAGACAAATTATTTGCCTGTATTTCAACTGCTTGCATCTCATCACTTTGGAAAACTAAGGTGTTCTGAGAAGCTGTTGATGTGTAAAGTAAGAAAGGAATTAAACAGCAAGCTCATTACAAAAGGAAAAAAACAAACGAATAAAGCTGTATCAATTTCTTCCAAATGAGATGACCACTTATAGCTCATTCTTTCTTACAGATTTCATCAGCAGATAAAAACTGGGATTATCTTCCTTCTCTGTTTCATTCATGCTCAAGGGCAAATGTTGCTGTAGTTGCCTACCAGGTTGTTTAAGAGGAGAGAAAGTAATGCATATTGATAATTGGAAGTCTGTTGAGTCGTTTTCAGATTTTTTTCAAGAATAAATGAGAGGTAGAGACTTGATCCATCTTGATAAGCAGATTTGTTTTAAATAGTTGGCAGTCTCAAGTCTAGTATGTACCTAAAAATTACTCTGTGGCATATGTTATTTCTGTCAAGTCTGTTAAGGAAGGAGAGCTATGGAGAACTGTGATGCTGAAATATCCCCTTTTTTTGTTTATCTGTTGTCTGGATGTGGGGATGCAGAACTTCTTTTTCTTTTTCTTTTTAAATTGCCACAAACTATCAAGTGGCTTGTTTCAAGTGAGTACTTAAATTTAATGGAAATACTTAAATCCAGAACCGAAAAAAGGTTCTGTTCAGCAGGACTTTGTCTTGGAGGCATCATATGCATTATGCATTGAATTGTCTTAAGTGTCTGTCATGGTTTAACCCCAGCCAGCAACTAAGCACCATGCAGCAACTCGCTCACTTTCACCCCAACCCAGTGGGATGGGGGAGAGAATCAGGGCAAAAAAAAAGTAAAACTCGTGGGTTGTGATAAGAACAGTTCAATAGGACAGAAAGGACGAAAATAATAATGATAATAATAACAATAATAAAATGACAATAGTAAAAGAATTGGAATATACCAAAAAAGTGATGCACAATGCAATTGCTCACCACTTGCTGACCGATGCCCAGTTAGTTCCAAAGCAGTGATCTACCCTTCCCTAGCCAGCTGCCCCCAGTTTATATACTGGGCATGACGTCACATGGTATGGAATACCCCTTTGGCCAGTTTGGGTCAGCTGCCCTCCTGTGTCCCCTCACAACTTCTTGTGCACCTCCAGCCTTCTTGCTGGCTGGGCATGAGAAGCTGAAAAATCCTTGGCTTGGTATAAACACTACTTAGCAACAACTAAAAACATCAGTGTGCTATCAACATTATTCTCATACTAAATCCAAGACTTAACACTATACCAGCTACTAGAAAGAAAATTAACTCTATCCCAGCCGAAACCAGGACAGTGCCTCTCACTGGATTTCTGTGTATACACAGACGCACACCAGTCTGGACAGTTCAGTCCTTACCTTCCCACTAGCTTCATTAAGGATTCAGAAAGGACAGGTTAACCTGCTGAAGTGCGTTGAGGGGCCCTCCAAAGATAAAGTGATTCCAGAAGCTTTAAAGTCATGTGATAATGTTTTCTCCTTAAACACTGTCCTTGGTTCCTATCCCCCAGAATAAAGTGGCAGTTTGTGGTGGGTTGATCTTGGCTGGTGGGCAGACTCCTACCCAGCTGCTTTCTCTCTCTCCCTCCTCAGCAGGATAGGGGAGAAAACAAGATTTAAAAGCTTGTGGGTCAGGATAAGGACAGGGAGATTACTCACCAGTTGACCATACAGGCAAAGCAGACTTGACTTGGCATAGATTAATTTGTTGCCAATTAAAAATAGGGTAGGATGGTGGGAGACAAAAACAAAACTAAAAACACTTTCCTGCAAGCCTCTCTTCTTCCCAGGATCATCTTTACTCCTTCATTCCCGACTCTTCTACCTCTTCCTGCCCCAAGCGGCACAGGGCGATGGGGGCTGTGGTCAGTTCATAACAGCTCCTCTCTGCTGCTCCTTCTTTTGCAGGGCTGCAGGGGGACAGCCTGCTCCTCCACCATGGTCTTCTCCAGGGGCTGCAGGGAAGTCTCTGCTGCTGTGCCCAGAGCACTTCTTCCCTCTCCTTCTTCACTGACCTTGGCGTCTGCAGGGTTGTTCCTCTGACATTTTTTCTTACCCTTCCCTCTCAACTCCTGCACAGTGTTTTTTACCCTTTCTTAAATATGTTATCACATAGACGCCACCAGCATCACTGATGGGCTCAGCTGTGTCTGGCAGTGGATCTGTTTTGGAGCTGGCTGGGGCTGGCAGTGTCCGTCTTCTCACTGAGGCCACCAAAGCAGCCTCCCCCCACTACCAAAACCTTGCCATGTAAACCCATAATGCTATTTAGTTGTTCAATGAAAGTTTTTCTCATTCTTAAAGAAAAATTTAGATTTTGTTCTGTATTTGCTGTGTGTTAAGAATACTTACAAAATAAATTGTGAGTTCCTTCAAAACATTGATACTTCTGAGTGGTAGCGGGTGAAATTCCTGTACACTGAGGAACATTAGGAAGTCTTTCAGCTGGTACATATGTCTATAAAACTGGAAAGTTTTTAGGAAGTAGAAAATACTGATGTGGCCTTGTATGTGAAAACTGTATGACTGAGATAAATATTTAAGGAATTTTGCATATAAATATAGCAGAAGTTCATTATTTTAAAGAAAAGTAGCTTAGAAAATTAGCATGGAATTATTAATATGTAGTTAGTATGACACAATATAGATTTCCAATTATAATTTAATTGGGCTAAATGCATGTATATAGTGCTGGACAATATATAGAATAGTTAAAATTCTAGAAAGCCTTCTGGAGAAATTAATTGTATGAGTGTCTTATTTCAGTCCTTCCTCTGAAGGAATATGGTGCTACTCTGTATTTGCTAGTTGTTGATTAATTCATTACAGATCCTTTTTCTTTTGAATACTTGAGAAATATTTTTGATACATCTTCGTATATCACTTTTTTTCCCAGTGGCATTTCCTGAAACACCTGCAGATGTTTCTGCTCAGCCACATGTGTCTTGGGCTATGGTACTTTCACAGCCCCCAAAGAAAATTGTGTCATCACCAGCATCTGAAGGTCTTTCCAGAGGCAAAGGGAAGCAGGATGGTGAAGCAAAGGTACTTGAGAATTGTCTGCTCTAAACTGTGTGATTGTGTCTCTTGATGTGAGACATTGCCATTTTTTTCCTAGGCTCTGCACAGTGTCCACTTCTAATGTAGCTTGTAAGAAGTAATATAAAGTTACCTTGTCCTTATTAGAATTTTTCTTCTCTTGTAGTGGAAAAGAATAACAAGATGTCAAAAAGACAGTGCTACTCCAGCAACACAAACTTCCAACTTTTAGGCTGGACTTTTTTCCAATTCCTGACCCTCAGAATGAGACATGAAACATGGAACTCTTGCCTTATTTGGGTGGATATTTCCTATTGAAATCTCAGTAGCCCCGATACATTCTGATAACCATGCAATGTGGTTCAAATGAAGAGTTTTTGCAGTAGCTCTGAATTTCTAAGAGATCTTGCATTTTCCTTTAATGTCCTAGCCTGGATTGATTAAGATACCCTTTAGTTGCTTAAGTGTGGTCACTTGCATTTGTTTTGGTAGGTGGTATTGAAATAAATCAATTTCTGATGGTCACGCCTTGTGATTTTTTTCAGCAGTCAGAAACAAAAAATGACGCTAGTGAAACTGAGCCTGAAGAAGGGTCAGAAAAGAAGAAAAAAAAGAAGAAAAAGAAGAAAAAACCGAAGTCACCCACTGATGTAGAGAAACCTCAAAATGAACCTACTAAAGTACAGGAACCACCAAGGATTGAGGTATAGTGAAGAGGGTTTTGTTATTTTTCTTTTAAGTGTTATGAGTGTATTGGAAGACCAGATGTTAACACAGCTTTGTACAAATTTAAGTTCAAATCCCATTTGTAGAGAATATTGGTTCAGGTCCATTTCAGTTGAGATGTTTGTCAGAAGTTACTGGTAGGGAACAGTTATGCCTTTTGACTTACCACGTATTCAGTGAGCACAGAGGAGTGCAGAAGAGACTTAGGAGCAAAATTGGAATGATGCATTTGAGAGTCTGGGTATTAACACATAACAATAAAAGTCAAATTTCCTAAATTAAAAATATTCTGTAACAACTGTTGCAGAAAGCAAAGTGCACAAGGGACAGGGAATATACTGGGTACCATAGTGTGCCACAATTTTAAAGAATGTGGTACTGGTATTAAAATTCTTCCCATCTTACATCTGGAAGCAATTTCTATGTAACACAGTTGTCACTGCCTACATTCCTGATTGTTAATTCCAGGTTTTTTTCAAATCCATATAGCTGTAATATGCGTATTAGTATTTTGATACTTTTGTGTATCAGTATCATGAAGGCTTTACTCTCCCACATTAGAGAATTGTTGTATGGTCCATGGTTTAACAGTGCTTCATTGAAAGCCCAGTATTGTACAGCACTACATACATGTGTTGATTTATATGTTTGATCTAGTGTACGTAATTTTCAGTCTCTGAAATGACAGCATAAAGAAGCCTTCCTGGCTGGCTTCTATTCTGTACATTTTAACATGGAACATGGAGCGGAACTGTGGCTACACATTCTTTTCATTGTATGGTTCATTGTCCTGGAGCAGCACAAGAAATGACTGTTTACAGACCTCTTTGCTAGAGAATTATGGGTAGAATTAAAGATCTGCAGGTTCTTTACCTCATGAGAACATCCCCGTTTTTACTATATGCTGCCATAGAATGTCTGACTTGTGAATGACTTACCATCTAAACAGAAAGAGAATGACAGGAGTTGTGGAAAATAGTAGGAAGGTAATGGTACTACTGAAGACACAAATGGGAATAAAATGGCATAGAATCACAGAACAGGACATAGGCATTGCAGTGAAATCTGTGATGTGGATGCAGGATCTGTTGTGGCAGTGGAGGACAGCATTCAGACCCTCCTGATTTACTGGGAAATGCTTGTGGGCTCATCAGTTTGAAAAATGGGTGAGATGCTCTTGAAATAGAAAAGCATGAAAGGATCATACACACATAACTTCTGGGCACCCAGGAGATTTAAGAAGGTTCTGCTATGTGCAGCAGCTCACTGGAGCAATATATTGGATTGCTTACTAGTTTTATAAAAGTCACTCATATATAGACATTGTTAATGAGCATAAATGGATGCAGTTGGGGAAAAGCAATCCTGTTTTTCCATACATAGTGATAGGCCCCGAGTTAGGTATTTTCCCTGAGGGGAAAAAAATTGAAGCTGCTATTGATAACCAGGTCAGTGCTAGTAGTACTGGTCAAACACACAAACAGTGCTGGGAATTATTAGGAAAACAGAAAACAAAATGGATTGTGACGATACATAAATCCAGGATGTGTCTGATCTGAATATAGCATGGATTTTGTTTTCTTGTGTTTCCCCCACTCCTTAAAAAAAATACACAAACTTGAACTAAAAAAAGGTAGACAAAAGGCTTCAAAAATAATCAAAGGTATGAAGCAATTTCTGTGGGAGGCAGGACTGAATAAACTAGGTCTTCTCAGTCTGTAAAATAGATAGCGAAGTGGGAATCAGAAGTGACAAGGAAATAAAAAAGAAATTATTTGATCTTTCTCCTAATTTTGTTTGATGTCGTCTGGTTCTTACAGGTGATGAGCTAAGAGCAAATATAAGGAGGTTTAACTGCACACTGAGTGGTAGATTTTAATTACTTGTGTTGCTACAGGATGTTGCAAATGCCAGAAATTTATATGAATTCAAGAAGTGACTGGACAGACTGAAATAAAAATTTATTCTAGTGAGGGCTATTTAAATGGAAGGTACTGCCTGTGGTTCAAGATGTCCCTAAGCTGGAAGAGTATGTTTGTGGAACATTTTTCCCTTTCTTGCAGTTGTCTTTTGTCATACTTCCAAGCTTCTTTAAAAATAGTTCATTGAATGAGGTGCGTCTGTCCTTATGCTAGAGCTTCCTAGCTTGGGCTGTTCAAATGAAGTCTTCTGGGCTGCAGAAGAAGTGTTGGTGTGTTCAGTAGTATTGTATCACTGCTAAAAAGGCCTCTTGGAAAGTGGGAGGAGAAGCAACTGAATGAAAACCACGCTAGTGGATCAGGATCATTATGATTGAGATAGCGGATATAAGGTGACCAGTGTAGAGCAAGCTTCAACCTGTCTGCACTTAGTTAATCTGGAGTCTGGATAATGTATCTTCTGCTAATAAAATTTACTTTTGTGTCTAAACCTACATAATCACTTGAGTGATTTATCTGTTTATTTCCATACTGTAGTCAAGAGTTACTACCCTTTTGCCTGCCCTTTTTGTTATTCACCACTTGCATGTTTAAGGCAGAATTGCACAGCTGGAGACTGTACTGGAAGAAGAGGGAAGTTGTTTGCAAGGCTGTTAAATGATCTGAAATACACTCCTTTAGGACCATTTACCTCTAATTATTTGTATCAGCTGACAGCAATAACAAGCTGGTGTTGGAAGCATTTCTCTTGTAAGCTCTTTCAGCCCTGAATTAGCTGCTGCATAGATGACTTAACCATTGTAGTGCTGGTTAGAATTGGTGGCACTGCACATGGGTTCTCAATTTTTGTACAGTGAAACAAATTATGATGAATGTTTGATAAGCAGGGAGAAAATCGTTTGAATGTAGGAAAATCAGTTTTGAGAATATGGACTTGATAGTTCTTATGAAATGATCTTCTGATTTTTTTGTTTAGGATGCTGAGGAGTTTCCTGATCTGGCAGCTGCTTCTGACAGGAGAAATAGGCTAGGATCTCAGAAATCATCATTTACTCCTTCTGTCAGAAAGCAATCTGAAGTAAGTAATCTTGCAAGATTATGTGAATGTTAAGAAAATAAGCAGGAAAAGACTGCAAGTTTTAAATGAGACTAAAGGTGAAATTCTTTTGACTAGATGTAGGTGCTTATGATGTGGGGTTCTGCCCATGGCAATCCTCATAGGTACGCTGTGGACAGTGAAGAGCTACTCACTGTATTCAGTAGATTCATATAATTTCAAGGGAGATAGATACCTTTTTGGTCTCTGAACTGCTGCCTGAACTCTGGGCTGTTAATTCTGACAGAGAGACCTCTGTTGTGGATGCTTGAAGTTAGTTGAGAGGAATTGTATTTATGTAGTTTATTTTCGTACAGGTAGTGTTCGAGTTTAATTTTGCATTTCATAAAAATAATACTAAGACTGTCAATTTCTGCCTTTGCTGTTTGTTCATATAATCAAATTTCAAGGGCATCTGAACAGCGTAACACTTTGTTCTCAAGCCATGCAAGTGTAAGAATTTGAGTCCAACATCAATTATAAATCCAAGCCATTTTTGTTTTACATGAATGAAATAAATCCCAAGGATTAATTTGGACATTCATTCAATGTGGGAATGAATCCCATACACATATCACAAGCATTGGAAATACGATTACTTTTGCAAAGCAAACAACATAAATACTAAAGGTGAAATTCCAGGTTTCTGTTTCTTCAAAACTAGTTTTGCTGCTAGAAATTTTTGTCCTTGGTTTTGTTTCGCTGTGAATATTAGTGGTTTTAAAAAAAAAAAAAAACCAACAAACCACAGAAAACCAAAACCCCTGTTTGCCTTGTTTGAGACAGTAAATTGCATTGATGGGGAGGAATGAGCAGCAAAAGGAAGTGTAATTGCTCAAACCAGATTTGTTATAAAGAAAGTGCTATACAGGCCTGCACCTCAAATGAGAGAAACCTTTTAGCTTTGTAGGCTTAAGTGGGATATAACCTCTCAAAGCTTAGGTAAGTTGTAGAGACATGATCATTAAGCCACTCATACTCCTCTGTAACAGATATTTGAAGATGAAGCTGCCTTGCTGGTTTTTTTCTTCCAAAAAAAAAAAAAGAAGAAAATCATGAGTTTGACTAAGAAGTATGGCAGCTAATAAATGATTGTACTTTTAGGGCACAATAAGGTCTTCCCAGAGCCTTCCCCAGGCTGAACAACCCCAACTCTCCACCTTCTACCATAGGAGAGGTGTTCCAGCCCTCTGACCATTTTTGTGGGCCTCCTCTGGACCTGCTTTAACAGGTCCATGTCTTTCTTGTACTGGGGACACCAGAACTGCACACAGGATTCCAGGTGGGGGGACACCAGAGCGGAGGGGAGGGGCAGAATCACCTCCCTCGACCTGCTGGCCACAATGTGTGGGGGACCTCAGCTGGACTGAGGGCCCTGGATGGGACGGCTTTGACCTTGAGAAGATTCCAGTCTACCTATGAGAGAACAAACAGGAACAAGAAGAACTGCAAGATAAACAAGTTTTGAGGCAGTGTCGACCGCAAGACAAGGCGTACGTGTCCTTTTGGCAGAGGAGCTGAGTTGTGATGGACTGTGCAAATGTTAACCAATGATAAGACAGCATAACAACTTTGAACTGATAAGAAAGAGACACATCTGGGGAAGCTAAGGGGAAAGAGAGTATAAAGGAACAGAGAAAGAGAGCAATTAAAGGCTTTTGCACTAGTTTGCTTTTACAAAGTTTTGTTGTTTTGTCTGTCTCGACCGCGACAACACTTCCTTTGATGCAGCCCAGGATGGAATTGGCTTTCTGGCCTGCAAGCTCACATTGCTGGCTCACATCCAGCTTTTCATCCACCAGTACCCCCAAGTGCTTCTCTGCAGGGCTGCTCTCAATCCCTTCATCCCCCAGCCTGTATTGATACCGGGGGTTGCCCCGACCCAGGTGCAGGGGCTTGCACTTGGCCTTGTTGAACTTCATGAAGTTCACACAGGCCCACTCCTCGGGCCTCTCAAGGTCACTCGGGATGGCATCCCTTCCCTGAAGCATGTCAATTGTACTACTCAGTTTAGTGGTATTCACAAACTTGCTGAGGGTGCGCTCAATCCCACTGTCTATGCTCCATTTGAATTTAATATCATTTTCACTTTACACTTTTGCATGTGTCTTAATATTTCCTCTTCCTCCCTGTCACTTTTTGTCTCTAAATTTCAAAGATCCATCTCCCTGAAGAGCCTTGGGATAATCGGTCTCCCACACTGGATGGAACTCCCAAGGTGGTGGATGGACTGTCAGGGAAGCAAGCTTCATCTTCTGTGTTAGAAAGAAAGAAAATGCAGGTAAATTCATTCACGTTTGAAAAGAAGTTTGCAACTCAAAGTGACAAAGGAAATTAGCATACTTAAATATAAGACGTAAGTCCAAGCTCATCTGCAATTGTATTCATACTTTGTCATTCATACTTTGAGATAAGTGACAAGATTCTCTTGATCAGAAGCACTCAGTGGTAGTAATTGGTAACCCCCAGTTTGGGGTACAGTGTTTAGGGAAAAATACTAGCTTTTCATTAATGTCTGCGGGTTTCAGATATCAGGAATTTTTCTTTCATCTGTCTTACTTGATCATGGCATAAATGTAGTCCAAACTGATTGTCTTAAGGAGTTGGGAACCTCTTGAAAGTGGTTCTGCCAGGTTAAGAAAAGGAGGCAAGGAGATCCACTTAGCGTGGGGCAAGGAGGAGAAACACGAAGCAACAGTGAGGTCAGTAAGTAGTTCCATGTTGGTCTGGCATACCTGTGATGCAAGATGAGATCGTAGGCTCAGAAGGAGATCACATTCCTTAACCCTATTATAACAGGAGCTATAATGAATTGATCCTCCAGGATAAGACTTCTAAAAGTACAAAATCTGTGAGTCATTTCCTTAATATGTTCTGCCCTAGTAGTTTGCCCTTTTGTAGTCTTGCTAGACTATTCATTTGTAATCTTTTTATATTCTCAATCATTAAATGTGCAAAGTGTGGGACACCACTTTTGCCTTTTCATAGCAGACAGAAAGATTACTGCTTATGAGGAGGCGGTGCTTAAAGATGATGACCTCTCTTTTTCATAAGGCATTGAACATGATATATGTGTATTGCAATTACAATACCCTGGAATATTCACAGAGTAGTTTTTCTGTACTTTTAACAAACCTTTCAATTCTGGTAAGCATTTTTTTCTTTTTCAAAGATAGGTGGCAGCCTGACCAAAGTGGGAGCTTGACATAAAGCACTTCCTTTATTAAAGACTTTATACTTCTATGCTTTATTCCAGTAGCTATTCAAAAGTTATTTGAACTGTTTCTGATTTTTTATTTTTCACATTAAAGTTGATGTGTATTTAAAGATCAAAATACTTTCATTGAATCAAGTTAAAAATCAGAAGTATCGTGGATGAAGATGTTAAGAGTGTATTACATACCATACAAAATAACAGTCTTTACATTCTGAAATGGAGAGCATTACTAATTGCTACTGAACTTGTTCAGGAAACATCCAGGAGCAGTGGTAAGAAGAGTCAAATTCCAGTGCAATTGGATTTGGGTGGCATGCTGGCAGTCTTGGAGCAGAAGCAGCAAACAGAGAAGTCAAAACAGTCTTCTAAACCTGTGGTGCTTTCAGGTATTGGTTACAATGAAACTTCCTTTCTTTCAGCTTGAGTTGTTTTTAAGTATTCAAATGTTAAATGTGGCTTGATTTCTGATCTGTAATGATCTCTGAATATGCAGGCAAGAGCACCGTTCACAAGATACAAGAGAAAATAAAGGTTCTTTTAAAAAACATTTTAAAAGCATGGCGATCTAAATTGTTTGGAGGAAGACTTGGGAAAAGAAAAATCCTCAGGACAATAATTTGTAAAAAAATACCTTATATAAATATGAGAGGTAATTGAAATTTAGGTTTGACGAAAATACTAATGTTCGTGGAGGTTTTTGCTTTGTCTTAAATATGTGTGTTACTGTTGTGATCTGAACCTGCAGGAAGGGGCTACACAGTAACAAAGGCTTTCTTAAGCTCCTGTGATGCTAGAAATCTTAGAGCTGTAACTTGAGTCAAAAAGCTCCTTTGCAAACAACAGGGGTTATACAAGAGTCAATCAGCCCAAGCCAAAGGATGAGTTCTGTCATGCCTGATAATTGTGAAATAATTGCTGTTAACAAAATGCTAGGTTTTGGTGATGGAGAGAATGTTTCAGACCTTGTGGATGCATAACCAGGAAGCAGAAACAAATAGCTCAGTGTCTTTCTCATTGTAGGTCAAAATTTAGTTTTGGCTATGTTAATGCAGTATATGTTGCAAAAGGAAGCATGATGTTTGCTAGAATTCAATAATGATAAAATTTCTCTCCTTATTTCAGTAAAGACTTTTTAAAAAAATTATTTCAGAAAGACAGCTAATCATGAGAGAATTCATCTCACAACGTTTAATGAGATAGCTGATCTTTTAAATAAAAAGGTCAGAATACCAAGCATTGTTGAGATTTTCCTTCACTAACTGAGAGAACTTGTAAGATGCTTTTTTAGATTCTCATTCTGCCATTGATCTCTTTTTTTTCATTTGAGTCAGTCAAACTCAATGCTGCAGAGGTGCTAATAACCAGTTTTCTTTCTGTAAAATTACACAGTGCATGGATTGGCGAGTAGATGGTGGAGCTCAAAGGTATGGGTCACAATACCTGTTTCCTAATATTAAATTGCCTGTGTCTGAACCTGCTGCAGAAGAAAAATTGATATGTCATGTTCATATCCTGGAAGTATAAGGCAGATGTTACCTCAGCTTTATAATTTTTTTAACTTTCAGTGCACCCATTAAATTGGTGTGTACCAAAATGTAACTTTAGTTTGTGAAGTCTCATTGTGCTGATCTCTGTAACCAGAAGAGAAGCACACTGAAAAAGAAGGGCAAGGAGTGTGACTGCAAACAAAGTTATTTTATTCCACTTACTACTTCATTTGGTAAATAATGTGTGGATGGAACAACATAGTAAAGCAGTAATTATTTTAATTTAAATTACATTTTGGAAATGCATCAATCGTGCAAAATGACAAAAACTGTTAAAGCCATCAAGTTCAGGAACATGAGAACTCTGTGAATTTGAAATTAAGAGATGAGGTACACAGTGAAGGAAATGCCATGTGTCTGCAGGATGTATACTTCTGTATTGCTTCAAATCCAGCTTCAATTCTTGTAGCCATCTGTGCTAACATACTGCACAATGTTCTTGGTAGTATTCTGAATTTGCCTTTGTTACACGGAGCCAAAAAAAGAAAAGTTGCGGTGTAGCATTTTTATGAAGTAAACTGTTTATGCTAATAATACTGTATGTGGTGTTGGAGGATCAGCATATAAATAGTTTGGAATCACTAAATGAAGATGGCTTAAGACAAAGTGCCAGAAACTTTAGGTGTTTTTTAGCAGGGGGAGGTTGCCTGAGGTACAAAGGTGTCAAGCTCATTCCACTGATAGTTAAGTCATCCTCTTCATTGACTTGCTAATGTAACCTGATTTATATTGCAGGTAACTGAAGTTTGACAAAGTGCTCTCACAGGATACAATTCCTACTGATAGCAAGTTGAAAAGGGAGAGTAGTTTTTAGGGTGTGAGGTCATGGTTTGGAAGGTCCAGGTTCAGTGACCTGGCAACTAACAAGTCATTTAAAGCTTCTGTGCTCTAAACCCTCTGAAAAATGCAAGTAGACATCTCCTGAGAGCTGTGCTGGTTAAGCAAAAGAAACTTACCTGTAGCTTTGCATTACTCATTACCCATCTGCAAATGAACTTCATCCAACATCATTAAGGTGTAACAAATGGTAGGGGTAAATGCTCCAGACTATTTACAGCAATTAAATCTAAAATCTGTAATACTGCAAGTCAGTATTTATCTTAACGCAGCACAGAATCTGTGGAGGAGGAAATGCCATTGCCATGAAACATGGGGATTCCTGAAGGTTTACCAAGCTGGCATGGCATGGTGTTGAAGGTAGCTTGGAGTGGAGTATTTTGCCAAATTCTGCTTTTGAGAGTTCAGGGACAGAGCTTGTGATTCTAGTTGTATAATAAAAGTAGAGGACATGTCAGTCTTTTGGGAGGAGTACCTTTATTAAGTAACACTGTTTAATGACACAGGATTGCCTATAAATATTCCTAATAGCAACACAACACAAATTTAATATGTGTATACTAGCTCTAATCCAGTCATTAAACTTGCATTGGATTCTAGTTTAGGTATTTGTTATAGTTGTATGATGCAGACTTTTTTTTTATCTCAGTTGGTGGTGCCATACCATTGCTTTCTAAAGAACCTGCTACAGCCACAAAAAGTCACCGGTTAAACCAAGGAAAGATGCCTCATAACCCTTTGGATTCCAGCGCTCCTTTGGTAAAGAAAGGGAAACAGAGAGAAGTGCCTAAAGCAAAGAGACCAACACCTCTTAAAAAGGTGCTCATATTTTTACCTTAAATAGTACAATACAGGCTAATGTAACTTCAGTATTACTCTGTGAGTGTATTAAACCTTCTGGTATGGAGATTTGCATCTCGGCGTCCACTTGTCTAAATTCAATTTTAGCTTTCCTTGGTTTAAAAAAGGGGAGGGAGTGTGGGGGACAAGAGGGGAGTCTCACTAAATAGCATATACAAATTTCCCCAAACTATATTTTCTCACTTAAATCACTTGATAGCTGAAGAAGTGCCACTACAAAAGTGTCCACACATCATTGGTACAGGGGGACATCCAAAGAAATCTTACTTGGTTTGGACAAGATATGCTTATTTGCAGGACTGGGGAGAATGGATCCAACAAAGGTAGTATTTAATGTTTCTGTGCTCTTCCAAGCCAGAACTTCAGCTGATTCTGCAGCAACTAGTGTTAGATTCACCTGGCCATTTCTCTTGTATCTTCCCTCTTTGCCCATTCACATTGCTTCCTATCATGTATATAGAGGATTTTCAGATACTGCTTCATCGCTGGTCACTTTCTGGTCTAGAATTCTTGTGGAGCTAGTGAAGGTAGTTTAGTGGTTATTCTGTTCTACTTAATTGAATTTGAGAACTGTACAATGTAAACAACATAGAACATATAACAAACTCTGGGGGACGATACTAATTACTGTGTCTTCTGGCTGTTCTATCTTCATGCCACCTATTTTCCAAAATAGGTTTGAGAAGACAAAGATTGCTTTGTCTGTGTAATACCTGTGTTCTGAGTATGATAGGGAACTTATTTTTGTTTGTTTGTTCATCTTTGACAAATGCAAATGGAGAAATTTACTTTTGCAATTAGTTTCTGTTTTGTAATTAATTACAAATTTTGGGTAGATTATCTAAGCTAGTGGTCATATATACAATAACTGTTTCTTAGCACCTATGAAAGCAGAGAAGGAAGATGAGTTTTAGGAAACTGTTGTTTTCACCTACGGTAGCATGTTTGGATCCAGCTTACGTCCTACTTTACTTCCTTCTGTGTACTATATGCTTTAGCTATCCATGGTAATTTCTTCTTTTTCTTCAACCGGCAAATTCAGAGACAGCAATCTATTAGACTGACTCAAGATTTTTAACAGGGGAATAAGGGGGGAGAGTAACTGTGCATATACGTGTATATATATATATGTACTTAAGTGTTTGGCTGAATTCCTACAAATTGGCAGTCTGAAAAAGAAAGGTTAAAGAGGGAGACTTTTTCACCTGCTTCTCTGCATTGAAACAATTTGTCACTTTAACTTCAGTTCTGCCCTTGTAGTTGATCCCTAGTATTATTTTCTCCACCCAGACACTGATAATCAAGGAAAAAGTCCTTTTTTATGTAGATTTAGGGAATATCTTTCCTTCCTTTTATGTGCAAATAAAAAAACCCCAAATGTTGTAAACTTTGAATGACAGTGCCAAACTTCTTTATGAATGGTCTGTATGTAAACACTTGTTAAGAGAAACTGCTTTGTTATTTATATGACATTGAATTGATTTGGGTTTTATTTATCTATTTTCTAGATTATTCTGAAAGAAAGAGAACAACGAAAACAGCAACACCTGTTAGAACAGACAGCAGTACCAAAAGATGAAGATAATATTTGTCAGTCCACAGAAAATATTACTGAAGATGAAACGCTTCTACAGGATAGTCAAGCAGGTATCTTTCAAGAGAAAGCTATAATACCATATGTAGATGGAGATTTGAGGGTGAGCACACTTAGTACTTTCAAAAATGTGTACCAGATACTGCCAAATGAAAACTCTAACTTCAGAATTTTCTAAGATTCAGCTTGGGCTTACCTGGAGTTTAAAGTGTGCCAAAGCTTGTAGTCGATGCAGTTGAGTAATTGGGATTCTGATTACTGTTCCACACTTTTATGCCTGTTGGATTTATTATATGTTGTTATGAGAGTCCCTACATCTCTCTGTGAATCTATTTAAAAAGAGGTACAATAATAAAAATGAGGAGATAAAGAAATGTATGACCTGTTCCCCTACTACCACAGACTGTTGTAATATTGAAGTAATGTCAAGTATCTCTTGCAGAGACAAGTTAGTCTCTTCACAGTGCTTTTCGGTCTGTCTTTTCATTGAAATATCTTTATTTACATGATAGCTGTTCCTGCAGCACAAGTTGCTGAAGGGTTTCTGGAGAACACAGGGATCAAGGACTCAACAGAAAGTTCTATGTCTTCAAAGCAGCTAACCTTTAGTCTTCCAAAAATCCATAGTAGGAATTTTAGAGAGTAAGTATTGATTGTATTGATACCTGGTTTTCCACAGTACCCCCAATACAGCATTTTTCAAACAAGATACATTAATTGCATTCTGTGCAACAATAATTGGAGTTTAGACTGAAGGTTCTAAATTTTTTTTTTTTTTTCAGTTTTTCTGTAAGCTGACACATAAAGAAAGACATGATATCCAGAGAAATAGTCTGTACACTTTTGTAATTCTCACTTCAGAATGCATGTTCCTTGAAGGAAAAAAGATGATCAGAAATTCATTAGAGGCTAAGGAAGGAAAAGGAGCTGCTGTTAAAGTATAAGAAGTACCTTATTTTAAATGAATGGAGTTCCACCTTAAGATTTAAGACAAAGAGTAGTACACCTTACTTAGTTTTAGTGTGTACTTTGGTTTTCTGCTGCCAGACCAAAGGGGAAAGATGTAAAGAATGTGACTAGCGAGATGACATTTTCCTGTTGTGGCTAGGGAGAGAAATAAAGGGAAGATTTATGGGTTATTATGTGCAAACACTTTTAGTTTTGTTTAAACAGATGTGTATAGATGTTTCATTATAAAAGAAGTAATAGTCATTACTCTATGTGAAGAGGTCAGAGATCCAGTCATGACAGTTTATAACAGTTACTTTAGGTAAGCAGTGTGTTAACTTTTAGTTTTTCTCCCATAAAGGCACCACTGGCCTTTTTGCAGTTCATGTTATAGTAATGGTTAATATTGATACAGCCATTCTTTATCTTCCTGATGCCATGTGTTAGCTCTAATTTAACTTTTCATTGCATTAAAAATTACTTAATTTGTGTCTATGCAACACTGTTTTACTGAAAGTAAACAGTATGGGTTGAGTATGTACTGGGCAACTCAGTCCTACCTATTACAGGATGTAGAGCATTCAGCAAAGCTTCGAATATTTTGTGTCTTTAGATTAGGTTTTCAGTGTTTTAGTAGACTTGTCTTTGAGACTTGGTGAAATCAACTGGAAATAGTAAATAAAAACTCTTGTAACTTCAATAAAATTTTGAGGTAATTGTATCCCTAAGATCCAGGATAGATCTTGCGATCTTTTCTCATAATCGTATGTGAATTTGCCACTTGGCATCTTTCTGTTGACTGTGCAGTTGAGATATCTTTAGTTTTTCTTGTTGAGACCCTTCTTTACTGAACGATTCTTTGTATAAAAGATGGGGGAAAAAATAATTCGGAACACTGATCTTTCCCAGGGAAAACTAGAAGGATGAAGTACATCTGGTTTTATCCCTTCCTTATGAACACCACAAGGCTGTAGTTGTTTGATAAGTGAAATAGGACAATGGACAAAAAAATAGGAACTTGGGGAGGAGGAATTTGATCCAAATTTCCATCTTTGTTATAAGTAGCCTTGTATTTGTAGAAATAACTTAGAATTTTATACTCTGGTTGCTGTACTTTGATTTATATAGGTCACAATAAATGCCCTCAGAAAAATGCTTCAACAGAAAAACATGTACATACATATTTATTGGTATAAAATATATATATATATATATATAGGCTTATTGTACATGTGTATGTATTCTGAGTATAGTTTGATAGGGGAGTCAGATACCACAAGTTAACAAAACTTTCTGTAAGTTCTCAGCCACTGAGAAAAATCTTAAGTAAATTTTTCTTCTCATGTGTATAACAAGTGTGTTTGGAGTGGAAACAGAAAAAAGACAAAGACATAGTATAGAATGTAAACTGTTTCTATTTTACATATTACATATTTATGTGTTACATATTTGTAATTTTAGGGGTTTTAATATTTAATTGATTCTTTCTTCCAGTTATTGCAGCCAGGTACTTAGTAAAGAAGTTGACAGTTGTGTGACAGATCTCTTAAAAGAACTGGTTCGTTTCCAAGATCGCTTGTATCAGAAAGACCCAGTAAAGGCCAAGATAAAACGCAGGCTTGTTATGGGTCTTAGAGAAGTTTTGAAACATCTGAAGCTGAAAAAACTGAAGTGTGTCATCATCTCTCCTAACTGCGAAAAGATTCAGTCAAAGGGTAATTAAGTTTAAAAAAAACCATGTCGGTTTAATAAAAGAAATGTAAAAAAGCAGACTCCGTATGCTGGCAGCAGTATTATTATTGGAGGAACTTATTTGAGTAGCCTTTGAAATGCAGTCGTAGAAAGATGCCTTCTTTCTTCAGATTGTTTACTGGTGTACAGCTGAAGTGTGAGCTGAGTCAAGACTATCTGGGGTGGGGGAAGTTACCTGAAATGAGCATCTGTTTAGTTATCAATTTGCAGTGCAGCTGCACAAAAGATTGCACTGGCACAGCTGAGAAGAGACAAAGGTTACTAGTGCCAGCTGTGCCACCACAAGAAGTCCTGCTGTGTCAGTCTCTTAGGCCACAGATTGACAATAAGTTGTCAGTGATAGTTTGTTTAAAATTTGTTGTCATTATTGTCATTACTTTCTATTAACTTTTAAATAATTTCTTAGCAGCTGAGTCTTTTTTTTAATACTAGATTAGACTATACTACACATAAAATATGGAATAGTAGCAGTCTAAGGATACTGCTAATTAAGAATTGAGGAAAAAAAAGTCAAATTCTCCTTTAAAAATGGAGATCTAATGCTATTACTGAGATCCATGTATTTTTTCCTAATAAACTCTTGTAATTTCAAAACGCACTCATAATCGTAGGGTATTTTTTGCTGTCTTTTAACAGTACTGTCCTTTAGTTAGAATCAGCTTGAATAGTATCATTCTTTGCTAATTCTGTTGTCTGCTCCAGGTGGTTTGGATGAGACTCTACACAACATTATTGACTGCGCCTGTGAACAGAATATCCCATTTGTTTTTGCCCTGAATCGCAAGGCCCTGGGCCGCTGTGTGAACAAAGCAGTGCCTGTGAGCGTGGTGGGAATTTTTAGCTATGATGGGGCTCAGGTAAGCTGAAATACATAGGTTCCTCTTTTTGTCCAGCTTTACTTTTTAGCTGTAAGGGGGGGGGGGGAACTTTTAAGATTTTGTTTGTTTGTTTTGCTTTTGCACACTTAATACTCTTTATCTCAGGTCAGTGACTTATACAAAAAATTGTGGCTTTAGAAGTACAGCCACTCAGCACTGTTCAAAACAGTAGTTTGGGCATCTCTTCCTGACAGCCCCTCCATCTCAATCGCTTTCCAAATTTTTTTTTCCAAGAGAATTCGGTGTTTTTATAAATGCTTATAAATGGTTTAGTTTTCATGTCTTTATACATACTTAGCTGCTCAACTTTTATATATGAACATGTATGTTCTGAATAAGGACTATTCATTACAGATTTTTGTGGAGATGTTGAAACTTAATATATCTTTTAAGGTCTCCTAATATTTTATATTTCCACAGGACCATTTTCATAGGATGGTACAACTGACAACAGAGGCCAGGAAGGCCTACAAAGATATGATAGCAGCTTTAGAGGAAGAAGCTGAAGGAGGACTAAGAGAAACCCAGCCCAGCATCTTGACCACTGATTATGAAAAAAATGGCTTATCAGAAACTGTTAAAACATCTTCCAAGGACTCTGATGAGGATGTACCAAATTATAGTGAGTATTTGCTGGCTTCATTTTGGTTCAGTTTTCATTCAAAAAGTGCTCTTCAATTCTACGATTTTCACTGAAACAAATGATACCTGACGCTTTAGTGGTTATTAAGGAGGGAAGTTCTGCTTTTCTGTGATTTCCCCCTGTCCCTGTAATTTTAAAAACCTGAGGTCAGCTCTTGCTAAGGAAGTCTTAGAGAAAATTCCTCTCTGAAATCCACTGATGGCAGGTGGTATTCATTGCTTTGTCCAAGGAGGTTTAACAGAACTCATTATTTCTATTTGTTAAAAAATCCTCCAAGTTTTTTCTAGAAGTGCATACTCTGTAGCCATGGTGGACTTAAGTTTTGTATTAAAGCCTGTTTAAGATGCATCTTCCTGTCCAAAAGTGTTCATGTTTTGTAAAGGCCTTCCACTTGTAGAAACACGTTCCTCCAGCTCTGCTTGTACAGTCACCAGACAACAACAGTTATCACTGATACTAGGCAACTTAAAACTTCTTTGAAAGTTTTGAAAACTTCTGAGTTTTTTTAAAGTAGGATCCACCTTCAGAGTTAGCCTTGCTTGAGTAGGGGCTGGACACAAGGACCTCAATGGATCCCATCACTCCTAAAGTATTCTTTCATGTGTCAGCCGATGTCACGTGGAGTACATGCCAATATGCCTATGTGCTTACTTAGCACTTACCTGGAGGAGGAGGTAGAGAATCAGTGTGACTTTTCATTTTAAAGTTTTTCCTCAAGTACTATACAGTAACCGGTTTGTTGGTTTTTTTTGTTTGTTTTTTCTTTTTATTCTAACGTTCCCTAGTTAAAATCTGGAAGAGAAAACTTGAAGAAGAGTATAACCCGTATGCACTGGAACTGGAAAAGAGTGCAGCTGCTGACATGGTGATAGTGAATTCAGAAGAGCATCAGTAAATCCAGATCCAATTCTATTGGGGCTTTTAATATTTTTTTTTAGACCCCTAGGAAGAGGGTAGCAAAATAAAATCATTTTAAGAAGTATATGAAGTCAGCCAGGTAAACTGTTCTGAACCCATTTAATCAAAATACACACTGCAGCACATGAGGCACTGGCTAATGCTTTTACATTTTATGTATTTGGCTGATTACTATAGCAGATGACAACAGCAAATTGTCTTAGCCCTGAACCACTTGAACGAGCCTGGCATACTTCAGTGGTTGGCATACTTCAGTGGTTGGCATACTTCAGTGGTTGGCATACTTCAGTGGTTGGCATACTTCAGTGGTTGGCATACTTCAGTGGTTGGCATACTTCAGTGGTTGGCATACTTCAGTGGTTGGCATACTTCAGTGGTTGGCATACTTCAGTGGTTGGCATACTTCAGTGGTTGGCATACTTCAGTGGTTGGCATACTTCAGTGGTTGGCATACTTCAGTGGTTGGCATACTTCAGTGGTTGGCATACTTCAGTGGTTTTATGGACTAGCATTGATTTGTTAGTGATTAGAATTTGCGAACAATAATTTCATTTGGGAAGAGATTCTGTGAGCCAGAACGTTGGGGCTTGCAGGGATTTGCTTTTTATTTTTAACTCGTTTAAAGAACTTTAACTGTTTTTTGATAGTGGGCTTGTTTTTTTTTTTTTTCTTCTAAATAAACCTGCTCAGGTGGGCAGGCTGGCATCAGAGTAATTTTCTTCCAGTCAACAAGAAATTAATTTTCAGCAGGCAGCTTGATTGAAACTAATTAAGGAAGGCCATGATGACAAAGTTCCCAGTTAGCTCTTCTGTGTGATATTTTGTTCTGGGATCATACAGCAGGTATAAAGGAGAGAGCATGGACTACAAAGGTCTGAAATTTCTGAAGTGAAAATGCTCTGTTTAGAAATATTATAAAGTTGATTGAGTGTGTAATGATGATGTTTCTGCTGCTACTGAGACTAGTTTATCATAGGTCCTGCTTTGATGTTTGTGATGCTACTGAGCCTAGTTTATCATAGGTCTTGCTTCGAAGTTAGAAGATATTGAAGGACAGCAAACATGCCAGCCTGCTACCCTATCCTACCTTCTCCATGCGAACAGACTCCCCATTCCTTCAGTTTGGGGTTGCGTTGGTATGTATGTGTAAGAATTTTTGATCAATCTCAGTTTGTATCTAAGGTAGGGAAAATTTGTATCTTACAGCAAATAAAATTTTTATCTTATAGGAATTAAAAATTGTATCTTATAGGAAATAAAAATTGTATCTTACAGCAAATAAAATTTTTATCTTATAGGAAATAAAATTTTAAAAACAAAATGTGCTTATAATGGTGGTGGAGCACCGTAGTGGGAATGTCCTGTATAAATACCATTATTTACAAGTTGCAGACATAAGAGGGCAAGCGTAAAGACAGTAATTGGAAGATGCACATGTAACTTCTGTCAACTGTTCTGGAAGATGATACAGATGCCATGTGCTGCTGCTAGCATCACTGAAGCATGTCTGTAAGTGCTTCACCACATTGAACATTTGTAGTGCAATACTTTGGAAAGTAGCTGCCTTGTGAAGTTAGAAGTGATAAATAATTAAATAATTTTGAAATTCAAACAATTTTGTAGAATGGAAATTGTATAAAATCTGTTACAATATATTGATTCTATAAAGTATGGTTGTGACTTAAGTAAACTCTTCTGGTGGGCATTTAATGATGATTGAAATGTCAGTTTTGAGGAAGAAAATTGGTGAGGGAAGCCAACCTTAAGCTGAAATGAACAGCTGGTCACTACTTATGATGATGTTTTTGTATTAGTTTCTTCTAATCTTAAGTGGAAATTGAGGGTGAAGGATCCCAGTGATGAAAGATGGTTTTGGCCAGCAGATAACATTATCCAGAGGTAAGCTGTGATTTATTTGTACTTGAGCCACTTTGATACATATCCAAAACTCTGCAACTCCTAAACCTAGTCACTGCATGGAATGGGGACCAGTTGGTGAAGATCACATTAACAGCTTTTTTTATTATTATTTTATTACTATATTTTCTATTTTGTTTTACTGTAGAAGAGCATGGAAAAATTACTTTGGAAACATTATAGGTTGTTCAAAATCTTAGCGAGTTACCTCCTGTTCTTAGAATGTAGCAGAAGAATTCACTGTAAGGCGTCACAGCTGTGTTCACTAATTCTGTTACACAGATGTTTTTTCACAAAGCTGAGCTAAACAAGAGATCTGGCAATCTTTTTTTACTGCTTGCAGTACTTTGCTGTAGAGGCAAGGCAAAGCCTACTCATCTTTCTTAAACTCTGACCTCAATCTTACAAAGCCTTACCTTCCCACTCAGCACTACAGAACTACACTTAAGTCTGCTCCAAATCTATCGAACAAATAGAGGAGGGACAATTCAAGAAAAGTCTTTTGATAGTTGTCCCTTAGCCATAAGAGAAACACAATGGGGAAAAAATTCCTTCTGAACATTGGTGTCAGAAGTCTGCATCAGCATTAAATTTATGATTACCAATGTGAAAAGTAGGGAAAATGGTTTTGTGTGTAAGAATTTTCACCCTGCATATGTGACCACAAGGTGGTCTGGTATTGGGGAAAAAAAAAAAAGGGGGGCTGGTCACTCAGGAAGGTCTTTGAAGAAAGCATTCTCCTTACTCTATGTGGGAAATGATTTAATTTAAATCTTACCCGTTAAGGGATAATTTAGGGACAAGTATGAAGCTTTCTGGTATTGCTGGGAGCAGCTGTCCCCATGGACTCAAGATATAGTGATTCTTAGGTGGAATCTTACATGCTTCCAGATTGTTGAAAACCATTGAGAAGATAAGACAGAAAACTTGAATTATGCCTCAGCCTTTTCTTTATTAGATGCAGGTCAAAACTCTGAACAGCAATGCAGTAAAACAATTTCACTGTGGATTAAGCAAGTCCTTACATTTTCAATCTGCAGTTGTTCACTAGGAATAGTCTTAGAATTCATTCAACATAGAATTTTTTAAAGTTACCACAGTTATCTCAAATATAGAAGAATAATTTGCAAAAACTGAAGAGTCTGCTTTAACTTGGGTATTTTGTAATCTGTCTGTATTTTGAGCATTAGTCAGAAGTTCTTTATATGGTACAGAAACTTCATTACTAAAGGAAATACATTTGAACAAATGAACTTGCTGACACCAGAAAGGAATGCTTTTCAAACCTCTGGGAACAGAGTATAAGGGTCAACACAATAAAAGAAAATAAATGGGTGAGTTGAAGTGCCTTTAAATAAACATGATTCACATCTTATTATTAATCTCTAAATCATATGCCAAGATCCTCAAGCCCAAAATTAACTGCTTTGCTTAATGAACTCAAAACAGAAGCCATACATCATATTACATTGTTTGAGCAGCACAAGTCTTACTGAGACCACTTTTGTTCTTCATTATGGTGAAATAACTGGCATCAGAAAACCAGAGAGAGTTCCAGCATGGGATGGGTGGCCTCTCTTGTAGCATGTAACTTAGTTATTCTTTGGTGCAGTAAGGATATCCTCTTCCACCTCAAGCTTCAGGTGATTCTCCTGAATATCAGTGTTAATGCCAGCACTGGTGCTCACAAATACCTCTTTGAATGCTGTGATAATAAGAGGACTGGGTACGCTAACTTGCATACATTTCTCCTCCTAGCCTGTTCGTTCCTTTGTCCGTTAGAGGCTATTTTTCTTCTTGCAGCTTTCCTGAAGAAGAAAAAGTTCAGAATGATGTGTTAATATTGCTTTAAAAATTAAAATAGGGTTTAAAGCTTGCCTATACTAACTGTTCCACATGCAACAAACATGTATTGTATCCCAAAGTTACCAGAAGTAATCTTTGTTCTAACTGTTGGAGAAAAACATTAAAAGCTAAGTATGGACTCCTTCTTTTAAAGGAAGGCCAGCTCTGATGGACAGTACCATTTATGAAGTCCAATAGTCACTGCAATCCAATTAGTCTACAGATGTGGTGAAACTAATCTACTATATTCAGTATACACAGACTTAACTGGTTTGGGCAGGATGAGAACTACTGACCGATTAGCACTTGGCTAGTGGGCTGAAGGAGCAAGCTGACATAACTAATGTATGTCATGGATCGAGGAGATTTTACTGCTGAGTGTCAGGAATGATGATGAGTATAGGAACACCGATCACTTTGTTATATAAATACATTCAGTTGCAGAAGCATCACAGGCTATTTATAAAATTGGGACTGTAGTGCGTCATGTAGAAAGCACTGTAGGAGGTATCTTTTCCATAAATTCTTACCCACGTTTTCCTCCAGTTTTGCATCATCTTGTCATGTTCACTGATGGCACTTCTCCAGATATTAAATTCTTTGGCCCATCCATCTTGACCAGCACCATCTGAGAATTGTACATGGGATGATTACATAACTACATAATGATGAAGTAAGTTGATATCTGTTCAGTTGCAGTACTTCCTGGGGAGGATTGAGCTAGAAGGAACAAGAGCCACCACCTTGTCCTTCATTTTGCTCTACCTTCTCTCATGTTATTTGGAAGCAATACTACTCAGATGCTCATGTCTCTTCCCCTCTGTAGCAAACTTAATAGCCTCCAGAGTAAACAGATTATGTGATTCAAGGTCTAGAAAATATGACCTACAAGTTAGATGGGTTTGAACTCTTAAGCACAAGAATGCTCCACTTAGATCATACCGAGCCTGTGGCGAAGAATGATATGATACAGCTGACTATGTCCAGTTTGTAATTTCCCCATTTTTTGGTAATGATACGTAGTTAGTTATTCTTTCCATTGAGAGCTTAAGAAGGGCTATTTTACGGCATCTTGATAAAATTCTAATTCTGTCTGCCAGTTTTACTTGCAGAATGTAACACTGGTGTTGATATACATCAATGTATTTTCTATTTTTCTGTCGGGACACTAGCAACAGTATATATAATGCTTTTGGAGCATAGTGAAAGCCCCTCTCTGTTTTACATTTACGATAGTTTCATTGATATGCTCTTCATTCTGCTTCCAAGACACACTTCAAAGTTATTGGAGGGATGGCAAGACAACTTGTGTAACTCCTGCTGCTTTTTTCTGTCACTGAAAAAAGAAGGGTTGAGCTGTTCTTGACAAATTTGTTTGTTATTAGCCAGCTAATTAATTTTTCCTTCACCTTGGCAAGAAAATCCATACTATATCATCTTCATTGCTCCAGCTGTCTTTTTAAAGACTATTCAGACCTTCTCCAGACCTGGA